TATATTTTATTGATAAATTTAAATATCATTAATTTTACGTTTTATAGCATTTGTGAATAATATTCAGAATTAGATCATGTTGATTATTGATTTTCTCACGTTATTTCGAAAGTACATCAAGTACATATCAAGTACATGTGCACTCAGAGCTTTCTGACGTCATTATGTTGCCAGTATTTCTACAAATGTGAAATTTAGAAAGCATGAACATGAGAATAAGGTAAAAGTGTAGGAAAAAATTAATTGATAATATATTATTGCTTTAATAATAAAAACCTCAAAAATTCGTGACTAACTGAATAAATTTTAATAGAATTTGACCTAATATTTATGCAAAATATAGTATTTGTGGATTAATAAGTATTAGGTTCATATGTAATGAAAAAATGGAAATATGAAATTTTATCAATATAGTCACTCATAGGCTTGTCTAATTTATCCAATATCATGATATTATTAAATTATTCAGATTCATTATTATTTACATTTTGTCAAAAGTTTTATTTATTATTTTAATTTATAAATATTTGTATTTAATAATAATATTACATAATTTAATAATATAATTCAAAAATTTCGTTAATATTTGAATTTATATATTTTTTAATTCATTCATATATTTGAAAAATATTGTTATGTTGTTGATACTCTATTTTCCCAGTAACGTGATATCAAATGTACATTTGTTTATTATCTGATTATTGCATATATTTAGTAGTTTTTGAAGATATTTATAATTCATAAAATATCTCTATCTATTATTTTGTCTCATAAATTCTATTCAACAATTACCGTCCATCATGAACACATATATACTTGGAAAATTCTCAACCCATTTATGAACTCTATTATTAGATACGAATTAGACCTACCAAGGAGCGCAGTCAATATTTCTGTCAATAACTAAAATATAATATTTATTTAACTGTTTGAATAACAATTTTATGTAATATAAATTAAATCACGTAACAAACTATTATATATTGTGCATGTTTAATCAACCTAACTCAATTCTAAATGATTTGTATGTGTGATTCGTATATGAATAAGAGTTACTCTTGTGTTTGAGAATAATATTCGCATTCACGGTCAGTAGTGCAAAGGCAGACACGCGAGATAGAGTCGGAATTTTCGCAAAATAAACTATTTAATTAAATCATCTTTACATAAACAAATTACCTGTGTCATTCTAATAATTTAAGTAAATTTTTCTAAACAATAAGATAGCTAAAATATTAAAATTGTAATCATACGCGCAAGTGATAAAGCATTATTTGAATAAGTAATTTATGTAAATAAGTGCAAAAATACTTGTAGGTAATTGTGAATTTGTAATAAAACGTAATTCGTTCTAGCGAGTAAATATTTATTAAATAATGTGTATGAAAGAGAAAAATTAATGTTGGATTTTTTTAAATTAATTTTATCGACTTAAATTCTTACTACCATCGACCATAACATTATTTCGAAAATTAATAAATATATTATTTGAATAAGTAATTTATGTAAATAAGTGCAAAAATACTTATAGGTAACTGTGATTCTTAATAAAACGTAATTCGTTCTAGCAATTTAAAATAAACAATGATTAAATAATGATAATAACGAGAAAAATTAATGCTGGATTTTTTTTTTCAATTTAATTTTATTGACTTAAGCTCTTACTACCATTTGTCCATAACATTATTTTCAAAATTAATTGAAACAAATTAAGGTATTAATTTTTTTGAATTAAGTGAAATAAGTCGGTTGAAATCGTTTCTAGTTAAATTTAAGTTATTAAGGTTATTGGATATTGTAAGTTATTAACTTAATTGAATATTGGAGCACCACTTTATATACAAGCCGATAGTAGATATTCAATTATAAGTCTATTTATCTAAATTGATTTTATAGTTTTAAAAACTTATTTAAATATTAAATCAATTCAACACATCTTTAATAACATATTCATATAAACATTAAATATGTAATAATAAAAAATTGTTTTAAATATGTAATAATAATAATATGTTTTCTTCATAATTTCAAGCTTATGTGTACTATGATGCACAAGATTCGATTCATTGAGAATTGGTTTTATTTTTAAATACTAAAATATATTTTAGATGTCTAATTTTGCTCAATGAATAATTTGTAAATAAGTAACTAATTTAAAAAAAACTATAAAATAAAACTAGAAAAACTGATGGAATTAGTAAGAATATTAAAATAATGCAAATAAATATTGCATTAACAGATAAAGAATCCTGCTCAATATTAAGTGAGGGTTGTAATTTATTTTAATGAAATTCTAATAACTAACTCTAAAAATAATGAATCTTTATTATGAATTTTTATTGCACAACTGAAAACCAAATATTTCTTTACTTAAACCAAAGTCTATAACATTTGCGAAATATCCAGACGCATCAATAATTTCAATCAAACCGAATTAAATCAAAATCTGTGATAACCACGTTACCAAATAATTTTAAAAAAGATATAAATTTGATACTACAAATAAAAACAACGTACTATGTCACCCATTGTTCTAATTAACGATAACAATATTCCATACATTAAAAAACGTTTGTTTTAAACGTAACTTGTGTGTTTTTACCTGTCGCACCTCACATTCCGAATCGCAAATCATTGCGAAAAGAGTGCTCTCTATGAAAGAAAGTGGCCAAAATTTAATAATTTTATCATGTTAACTATAAATATAATACAAAGAGTGACTGGTCAAAGCCGAGGAGCTTTGACAAATTTAAAAAATAGTTTCTGGAAAGTGTTATCCACGGTTAATGCGGTTATTTAGCCGACGAGGAAAGCAAGGAATGGGCTAGTGCTTTGCCTTATAGTGAAATTCCAGGTCCAAAGCCAAAACCCATTGTGGGAAACTTGCATAGGTTTTTGCCAGGAGGTAATAATTGATATATTTTATATTAAATTTACTAACATATCAAGTTAGTGTTGATTACTAAATTATAGACACTAATTTTGTAGAAATATTTGGTCAGATTGATTACTCATAGCTGTAGCAAATCTTTCACTTATATGTTCACTTTCAAAACATTTTATGCTCTATTTATAGTTAATTAAATAATTATATGTTGCAATTTATTACATATTTAAAACTATTTAAAATAAATAATTTAAATCAGAATTGAGATATCAAGAAAATACTTAAATTCGTTCCTTAAATATAAAAAAGTTTTAACAATACTTTTCAAATCACAGATAGTTTCAAATAAAAGTTTTTTCTGTAGATTTTTACCATTTTTTTGCCTTGTTGCAAAATATTTTTGTTGATTATTCCATAAAATTTAAAATATTTTTTAAATTATATTTCATAATAATTTTATTAGCTTAAAATGAAAGTAGATATAGGGAGTTAAAAAAAAACTTTTTGTTTTAAGATTATAAACGCATATATCAACCTTCAATATTTTTAAATCACAGACAAAGATTTGGAATTTAGTAACCCAAATAAAGATTATAGTTATTAAATATACTAATAAAAAATTACTTCATATGCACATTATCTAGAAATTGAACTGAATTAGATTAAAATTCAATTTATATCGTGATAACTGATTTATATTAGAAATGACGCAAAGATTAACGTCGATAAAGCATTTTAATCGAATTATTGATAATATCGTATCACAGCCTTGATTTTGTTATTATTTTGATATATTTTTGAAATTTTTGTTCATTGTTTTCAATTTCATTTATTTAGGTGAATTTTATAACCTCCAGTTGGCAGATTTGTACGTTAAACTAAGGGAAACATATGGAGAAATAGTCCGGCTAACAGGAATAGCAAACCGAAACGATCTGGTGTTACTTTTTAATCCAGAACATATAAAAACGGTTAGCAAAATGACATATGTTATATAAAATTTGTTTTGTATACTCTTACATGACCAAATATATCTTAGGTATACAGAAATGAAGGCATATACCCAGTTAGAAGAGGTTTGGAAAGCTTTGTGCACTACCGAAAGGAATACAGACCAGAATTGTTTAAATCTGGTGGTCTTTTAACGGTGTAAGATATATAATTTATTACTAGCCTATTATTTTGAAATGATTTTTGCGAATTAGTCATAACGTGTTATAATTTTCACCATAGGCAAGGCTACGATTGGCATCTGGTCCGAACCAAAGTTAACCCTGCCATGATGCAACCAAAAACAGTTAGAAAATATGTCGAACCTGTTGACCAGATTTCACAAGAATTCATAAATCGGTACGAATTATCTAAATTTCTTTTCAATAGTTAGAATTTCATTAAACCAAATTATGTATCTAACTTTTTTAGGATGATGAAACTACGTGATGCCAATAACGAAATGCCCTCTGATTTCTGGATGGAAGTCAATAAATGGGCATTAGAATCTATTGGAAGAATTGCTTTGGATACAAGATTAGGAAGTATAAGTGATAATCCGACTTCAGAGTCTCTAAAACTAATTAAGCATGTTCATATGATGTTTGAGCTGATTTACCAGTTGGATATTTTGCCATCTGTATGGCAGATTGTGCGGACGCCTAACTATTATAAGTTGATGGACTGTTTTGATGTACTCAGAGAGTAAGAATAATTAAATCAATATATATAATATATATATATATATATAACATTGTCGTGGCGAAGATCGTTAACGTATGAGTCGCAGTCGATTTTTAAATTTAAATTCAAAATGTAAAGTTTTTACGCGGTTTTTATTTATAATTATCTTCCCCGCAATCTCTGGATTAGCACGAATATTTCAAGACCAGAACTGGCCAAATCGGTACAGCCATTTTCGAGTTTAAGCCAATCTAATATAATATCGAGCTCCATTTTTATATATAACAATACTATCTTACTCCTCTATATTATATGTGAAAATGAGCCGAATTTATTCCATTTTCAAGAAGTCAGCAGATTATTTATAATTTCGTATATAAAACGTCATTGGTATATATTTGATTTTATTTAAAATCTGACGTTGCAATAAATTAGGAAAGATTCCAGAGATAAACCCTCACTGAAATTTGAAGTTTGTAAATCCATTATTGCAGATTTCAAACAATGCAATTGATAAATAATTGAAACATTTCTACAATTACTGATTGTTCATCCATGTAAGACTACTAATCAATTTACGTATACCAAGATTGGTATCCAAAATTTATCTACCATTACTTGATATAAAATAATAAATCAAATATTACGAAATAATTGAGCATAGAAGAAATTTGTTAACGGTTTTTAATTGTTCTATAGTAACTTGATTACATATTTGAAACTTTGAAAAAATAAATCTATTATTACCAGAGCACCTGTTATTAACTTAGCTTGTTCAGAACTTTGTGCAGTAAATAAGCAAAATAGATAAAAATGCTAAATTTCTACCATTTGCATAATCAAGTTGCATTGACGCAATTTAACTGGAAAATAATTACTAGCTATAAAAATAGCACGATTTTAACCTAAATATTTTTTAAACAGCATTACAAGTAGACATGTATCGAATGCAGTTAAGCGTTTGGACGAATCGCCACCAAAACATTCTGAAGACGAGTTGAGCGTGGTGGAAAGACTGATTACCATCGACCGCACCATTGGACAAGTTATGGCAATGGACATGTTGATGGCAGGAATTGACACTGTACGAATTTTTAAATTAGAATAATAAAAGATAAAAGATTGGGGAGATAACAAAACAATATTGAACGAATATCTACTTTTCAACTAACAAATAGCTATTTTGCAACTAACAAATTTATCAATCATTATGAATCTAATTAGAAGAAATTAGAACAGAACCTAGTATCTCCTTAGAAAATAAAGTTTTTATAGAACTCACACCATTAACTATTCTATTAATATACTATCAATATTTTTTTTTATATTTATGATAATAAATTAATTTTTCCCTATTATTCCAGACATCTTCCGCAGTTTGTACCCTACTATACTATTTAGCCAAAAACCAAGATAAACAAAATATCCTAAGAGCTGAACTTAGAGAAGCTATTCCTGAGCCTAAAGGACAAATAACTAATGATATTTTAAGGCATTTGCCTTATCTGAGAGCCTGCATTAAAGAGTCTTTGCGAATGGTACCTGTTGCTCCTGGTAATTTAAGAGTAAATCCCAAGGACATGGTTTGGCTGGATATAGAATCCCAAGTGATGTAAGTTGATAATGAAATAAATGTATTGAGACATATTATGCAAATATTTAAATCAGTCTAGAGATTAGCAAATCTACATACTGAATGTATATGCATATAATTTGAACATTAATGATTTTTTTACATTAAAAGTTGCTGAATCATTTTCGCCTTTATTTTTACTATGGAATTTGCACTAGACGCATAATTATAAGAATGATTGGCAGAAGTTACAACCTTAAGCTTCTTCTTAATTGCATTTTGTTATATAATATAGTAATAGTCTTTTTAGTTGAATTTCGTATAAGTTATATGTCTTGGGTGCAAATAAAAAAGCAATACGAAAAATGGTTTTGATCTTACAAATGGTAATATTGGAAATTTTGCAATATTTAATCTGTTATGATTTATTACCTTTGAGATATCAGACTAAGATCTTCTAGAAATCATTTCCTAATCTTTTAGATATCTTTTGTTCTATTATCTTAAGGTTATTTTATTTCCTCAGACTGAAATCCTCCTGGGTCATATGACCCTAGCCCGTTGCGAGTCCCAATTTCCCAAAGCCGACGAGTATTTGCCAGAGAGATGGCTAAAACAACGAGGAAGTTTGGCTGATCGTCAAATTGACAATGCAGATATTTCTTCCACAAATGCACATCCATTTGCCTATATGCCATTTGGATTTGGACCAAGGACTTGCATTGGCAGAAGATTTGCCGAATTGGAAATTGAAGTCTTCACTTCCAAATTGATCAGAGATTATAAAGTGGAGTGGAACCATGGGGAGATGAAATTTGACAGTAAAATGATTAATTTTCCGGTTAATCCGTTGAGGTATAAAATAACAGAAGTTAATTAAAGATTGAGTCAGTTCTAAACTTCAAACGCCAACAAAAGTAACCAAGTTATGATAAACATATACATAGTTTCGCACAATATAATAGTTCAACTTTGTACTTTGTAATTTATCAATTATAAACGTATTTATATTTAAATATGCATGACAAAAAGTACAAAAATTAGATGTATAAACAAATAAACCTATATCAAATCCATAATCAAAAAGTATATTAAAGAACTTTTTCAACATAATAAACTAACTCCTATTATTAAAACAAGTATAATAACTAACTAATTTGAAAAAAAAATAAATACATAAACATTTCACTTTATTTTTTTTAGAACGTAACAATATTTAACTTTAATGTTAATGAAACTTATGGAAAACCTGTTATAAATTTAACCAATTTTTTTGTTGAATTAAGATTGCTAATTTAATTAGATTTTATAAGTTATTTTTTACATAATGTATAAATAAATTATTTTTGTAAATAAAAATGTAAGCAAATATGTAATAAATATCTTCATGTGATCAATATCCAGTTAGCATATATTTGTATTAAATATATCAAATATTAAAGGTATTTAAGGATTTTTTTTAAATAATTTATGCTCTATTATATTTGTATCATGCTAGAAGGCAATTAGAAAAACAAGTTGTAAGATCTTTTAGAAAACACACTTACAAGTTGTAAGTTAAATTAATACGTTGATAATAAAAATAGAAATTTGGGTTTATTTTCTTAGCATTTTTTAAATCAAATTCAAAAAATTTATTTCAATGACATGATTTGTAAATATATTAATCAATTATTGCCTAAAACTTTTAGATGATTTATTTAAAAATATATAGCATAGCAAAAGAGATTTTTTTGAACTATAAAAGGAAACTCAATGAAGTCGTCTTTTCACCAACTATACAAATTAAATTATTTTATTCGTTTTGATGTTGATTGTACTACCATGATACAATATATACAAAATTATGTCATACAAAACATGGCACATATACATTTATATATAAAGTTTTGGAGGTCGAGTCAATAACTACACATGAGAATGAATGATATGATTATATTGATTCAGGAAAATAGCCTTGAAATCAATTCAGGCGTATTTATCAAATGTATATAAAAAATAGAAGAAAGGATATAAGTAGTAGTTAATAAAATATAAATTATTAATAAAATTTTAAAAAATAATAATTACACCACGGGCAATATTACAAATAAATGCGAAGTCCGCACAAACATCTGAGCTCTATTTTCCAGAATATGAATACTGAATTCTCTACTGTTTGTTAAATTATTTTTCAGTTGTTTTTGCCTTATATTTGCAGATTTTCATAAATTAAAGTTTTTCATATAACTTTGCCATTTAAACATTTTTCTGTTTGAGTCACTACATATCCCCATTTTTCGAATTTCCTAGTCAAAGAATTAAAATCTTATGATAAATGCTCCAGCTGAGAGCATCGGTGTGGCCCAGCCAAAAGGGTGGATAATTAGTGATTTTAGTGAATAAATGTAAAAACTAACGAAATGTTAATGTAAACGATTTCTTATATTTTTATCAAAAATTATAAAACTTATGAAAATACAATCCAATACTCTAGAAATAGAACATTTGGTTTGAATCTGTTCGTATGAAACAGTGAAAATAAATAATAGAGATATGAAAATATGCTAGATTTGATATACATTTATAACGAGAAAATCTCAATTCATAGCAATAGAAATGTATTTTTACATCATGTTCACGATCAAGAGTAGGGAGGACATGTATACAACGGTAACAGAACTGTTTGCTAATTTAGTCTGCATATTTCTTTACAACAAAAGCTACGTCATTTCGTTCTCATCTGATAAATTCCAATGATTTATGAAAAATTAATGATGAGTTTGAAAAATATGTAATCAATCGGGTGATTAGATAAAGTTACATTAACGATAGATATCTCTATATTGGTGCTATTTTAGCGCGAAACGCCCCGAAAATTTTGTGTTATACTGTGAAAAATAATAAACATGCAAAACGATTAAGCAAATATTTAGTGTAGAATTTTTGTGTAGTTGATAATTTATTTAAGGAAATTTTTAATACAGTTAATATGTAAGTATAAGCTATTAATTAGGATGTTTACAAAATTTTAATTAATTATATTGATCATTTTAACCGATATTGATCGTTTGTTATAAAGAGTATATTCATATTTTTATTGTTTTTGTCACGTTCTTTTTATCAATTATCTGCGTAGCAATTAATAATCTTAAACATGTTGATGCCATATTTTTAATTTTTTTTTATTAAACCAAGTTTTAGTTTTTTATACATTAAAGTTTATTTTCATTGAATAATTATTTTTTACATTTAGTTAAATATGCATCGCTTACAAATAATAAATGCCAAAATATGTGGATTATCAGTCACCAACTCTGTATTTCCACAAGCGGGTCGCAATTTTTTTTCAACGAATTCAAAATTATTGGCTGTTGCAGTGGAAGTTAATCAGGTAAATTTTAATTAATATTATTAATATATATATATATATATATATATATATATATATATTATTGGAATTTCACATTTCTGTCCAAATATCCCTACAAGAATAAGAAACCACCATTCCGAATAATGTTTTCTTAGAATTTTAAAAGTCAATATAAACTGGATATTAAAATTTTATTTAAATTTATTATAGTTGTAGAGTATTTTAGTAAATTGCTATTAGTGTAGAATTTAACATCATTTTATTAAAACAAAAGTTAAATTTATTTTTTATTTTTATTTTAGAAAGCTGCAGACGTATCCTGGGAAGAGGCAAAACCATTTTCGAAAATTCCTCGAGTCGAAGGACTTAAATTAATGGTAAATCTTTTGCCAGGAGGTATGCAAATAAATAAAAAAATTTAATTTATCCGCTGAAAATACAATACTCGTTTTTACATGTATAGGAAAATTTTACAAAAAGAATATATTGGAAATGAATTATGTTTTTATAAAAGAATATGGAAATATCATATTAGCGAAAGGAACTTTTGGAAAACCTGATACTTTACTTATTTACAGCCCACAAGATTTTGAGAAGGTAAATTGATCATAACTCAATACAATTGTCTATAAAATAAATTATCTATTAATTTTGGTAATATGCAGGTGTATCGCAATGAAGGTATCTGGCCTTACAGACGAGATTTCGAAATTTTCAATCATTTTCGCAAAAATATACGAGCTGACGTTTATGGAGAGAACGCTGGTCTTCTTGTAGAGTAAGAAAAAATACATTATCAGGAATAATCAATATTAAAATTTAAGCTAAAGTTATATGTAGACATGGAGAAAAATGGAAAGAGCTCCGAGGCAAAGTGAATCCTGTAATGATGCAACCAAGAGTCGCAAAACAGTACATAACACCAGTTGAAGAAGTCTCGGATGAATTCATACAAAAGTTGGCTTTTAAATATTTGTATTTGTATTTATATTTTTTGTATATTCTTCATTATTTTTAGGCTTTTAAAACTTCGTGATTCTAATAACGAACTGCCAGACAATGTGTGCAATGAATTTAACAAATGGGCTTTGGAATCAATTGCAAGAATAGCCCTTGATACCAGACTTGGTTGCTTAAGGGATGATGTTACTGCTGATTCAGATCCACAAAAAATGATTAATGCGGTAGATGCATTTTTTGAATTGACTTATAAATTGGAAATTATGCCATCGATTTGGAAATACGTTAAAACTCCCAAATATTATAAGCTAGTAGATGCTTTGGAAACCATGACAAAGTGAGTAAAGAAAAATTACTCCTTAAACAAATATTTAATCTACTATAACATATTTGCACTATGATATTTTTATTATTGTTTTTAGTATTTCATTGAAAAGAGTGGATGAAGCTATGGAACGACTAAAAAAATCTGAAAATCAAAAATCTGATCGAGAAGCCAGTGTCTTAGAAAAACTTCTTAAAATAGATCGGAAGGTTGCCGTGGTTATGGCTATGGATATGTTGTTAGCAGGAGTAGACACAGTAAGTATTTTCAAGATCAATTTTAATATAAAAACATGTTTTAATTTATTTATCATTTCAGACCTCGCATACAACAGCCATCCTGTTGTACTTTATTGCAACAAATCCGCGAGTACAAGACAAATTAAGGCAAGAAATTTTAACAATACTTCCAGAGAAAAATTCTAAGTTATCTTCGGATTCATTTAACCATGTTCCATATTTAAGAGCATGTATGAAGGAAGCTAATAGGCTTCTGCCAATTGCTGCTGGAACTATTAGAAAAATGCCTGTAGATATAGTTTTGTCGGGATATCAAGTACCAAAAGGGGTAAGTTGAAGCTAAAAGTTGTTAGGTCAATAAACCAATAAAATAATTTGCCGTTTTAATTTTAGACTGAAGTCGCAATGAATCATTTCATACCATCTCAAGATGAAAAGCAGTATTCTAAACCCAAAGAATATTTTCCAGAACGATGGTTAAGTAATCAACCAACAGAAGAATGTCCTTTTTCGAAAAATACGGCACATCCATTTGTTCATATGCCTTTTGGGTTTGGACCAAGAAGTTGTGTAGGGAAAAGATTTGCTGATTTGGAAATTGAAACTTTCATATCAAAATTGTTGAGAAATTATAAAATTGAATGGAATTACGGTGAACTAAAAGTTACAAGCAAGTTGCTGACGACGCCGACATCACCGTTAAAGTTTAAGATAACAGAATTGTGAAAAATTATTAATTACAAAAACATAATTATTTTTTATTATTAATTATTTTCATTTAGTAAAAAGCCGTTCGAAGTGAAAATTTGCAATATTTAACTCTTGAAAATTAATTTTTTAATCATTTGTTTGAGAAAAGTATATAAGCAATAAATGCACACTTTGAAGATGTATTTTGTTATGTAATATGATGACTAATAAGTTTAATCTGTAATTACTGTTAGTAAATAATGAATGTAATCAAATCATAAAATCTACTAATAATAAAATAAAACATACACAGCCCTGTCTAATAACATCAAATCTAAAAGAGTGTTTGACGTGGAAAAGAGTGGGAAAAAAGATAAATATGAATGATTCGTCATTTTATAAAACAGTATTAAACAAATATTTTGGAGATACGATTCACAAATCTACAATAATATTTTTTTAACAACACGATAAGAAATAATTAAGATAATTAACGCCAAATATCTGTCAATAAAATAAAACATTATACAATCCTGCGATTGGAGTTATCATACAGTTCAATTTATTTTAGTATTCAGGCAAAAATCATACTTGTAAGTAAAAATGTATATAAATTTAAATGGTTACTTAAAACTGGTTAAAGGAAAATCTAAATAGTATGAATCATATTTTAAATTCATTAAAAAAATCCAAATTAGTTTATTAACACCAAGATTATTGAATACGTACTATTTCTGAATTAAAATTTAATATTATAATTAATGATTATTTATATAAAGTTTGTAAGTTATTGTCAATAAATATTTTTAGGCAATATATTATTATCTTTATTAAGTAATGATACTTAATTATAATATACTTTATTGTTATATGTAATATATATATATATATATATATATATATATATATATATATACATCTATATACAAATATGTATATGATAATTATATATACAATCAACATGTAATAAAATCAACAATAATGTTGAAATTAATTTTATATATTTTAGGCAATAATAAAGCATGTTTAGAACAAATATTAAAAATGTATACAAACTCATTAATAATGATTTGAGCAATAAAGTATACGAGTATACCACATTACCGAGAAATCTAAGTATAACAACCAAAAAATATGCAGAGGCCATTAGTATTCAAGAGGTACAATTCAATCTAATAATTTACAGAACTTAACAATAATTTATATTCTATTGAATTAGGCAAGACCTAAATCTTGGGATGAAGCAAAGCCATTTTCCGAAATCCCAGGGCCTAATCCTTTGTTGCTCACACTTTTCAGTTTAATACCAGGTAATTAAATAACTCTCAAAAATATTCACATAAAAATGTGATTATTTTATTTCTCTAGGAAGAGCATCCAAAATGTCATTAAAGGATGCCAACGCACAACTCAATAAAACATATGGCGATATAGTTGCAATAAAAGGAACAATGGGTCGATCAGATATGATCATTACTTATAATCCAAACGATTTTGAACAAGTAATTTTTAGATAGTGCAAAATAATATGTAATTGTGTTGCTTTATCAGTTTTATGTATAATGACTAGGTGTACAGGAATGAAGGACCTTGGCCTTATAGAAGAGATTTTGATACATTTCGCTACTTCAGAACCCATGTTAGACCTGATGTTTATGGAGACTCTTATGGTCTTGTTGCGACGTAAGAAATAATAATAATAAAATCATAATTTTTGACCAAAGCTGGTTTAAAATACTATAATAGAAATTATTTCTTTTCTTTTGTTTTATGTTATTTAAGGTCTTTCGGTTCTTCTATTTTCAATTGTTTCCAGTAACTGACATCTAACTTCTCTATTTTGTGATTATTATCTTAAAAAATCTGTTTTTTCTCAAATATTTCCTAGTCAAGGCAAAGCATGGAAAGAGTTGAGAGGCAAAGTCAACCCAGTTATGATGCAACCCAGAGTTGCAAAACTATACATCACACCAGTGGAAGAAGTTGCAGAAGAATTTATTGCACGGTGGATATACAACTTTTAATATGAAATATCCTAAAGCTTAATTATGCAAATAATATTTTAAGCATGCTCCTTCTGAGAGACTCGAACAATGAATTGCCAAGCAATTTTTCACATGAATTAAACAAATGGTCGTTGGAATCAATCGCAAGAATAGCCTTAGATTCAAGATTAGGTTGTTTGAAAGATGATTCTGAAATGGATCCGGATTGTAAACAAATGATTGCAGCTGTTCAAGACTTTTTTGCTTATACTTGGAAACTAGAAATCAATATGCCAGTTTGGAAAATTTTTAAAACACCCTCATTTAACAAATTGATGAATGCTTGGAATACCATGATCAAGTAAGCAAATGTAGTTACTAATGATGATACATAATTGCTAATGCTTTCAACTATTTGTAATGAATTATTTTGATTAGTGTTTCATTTAAAAAAATTGAAGAAGCAAAACAAAGAATTCAAACTAACCCAAAGCCAACAACCGAGCATGAAGCAAGTGTACTAGAAAAATTGTTAAAAATTGATCCTAAACTTGCAGCAGTCATGGCAATGGATATGCTTTCAGCAGGAATTGATACTGTAACTAGTTCATTTTCTATATTCAAGTAAATCATAATGTTTATGATTTAATATATTATTTTACAGACATCTAATAGTGTTGCAATCCTGTTATATTTCCTGGCAACGAATCAATCTTGCCAAGATAAATTGCGACAAGAAATTTTAACAATATTGCCAGAGAAAAATTCGAAGTTATCATTCGATTCTTTTAATCATATTCCATATTTAAGAGCATGTATGAAAGAGGCGACAAGGATACTTCCAATTGCTGAAGGCAATTTAAGAAAATTGCCTGTTGACCTAGTTTTATCTGGATATCAAGTTCCAAAAGGGGTAATATATTACTGGAACCAAAAGTTGGGATTTGAATATAATCATTTTATATTTTTTTTTTCAAGACTGAAGTTGTTATGAGGCACTCGACAGCATCTATAAAAGAAAACCAATTTCCTAATCCGGAAAAATTCATGCCAGAACGTTGGTTAAGTGCTGATAAATCCCAGGGTTGTCCTTTGGCAAAAAATGCACATCCATTTGCTTATATGCCATTTGGGTTTGGTCCTAGGATGTGTGTTGGAAGAAGATTTGCAGATTTAGAGGTTGAAATATTGATTACCAAATTGCTTAGAAATTGTAAGGTGGAATGGAATTATGGAGAACTGGAAACATCTAGCAGACTGATTACTCATCCTGAATCGCCATTGAAATTTAAAGTAACAGAGATATGATATGTAGTCTCATATTGATTTGTATTTGTATAAATTTATGCCGGTACTTCATATAAGAATGACTCAAATTCAATCTGCTTTAGTTATTATTATATTATTATAACACTTCAATATCTAATTAATCATTCAATATAATACTGTCGATAATAAACGAAAAAATATAATATCTTACATGTGAACGTATTATGATTTTGTGAAATAAATTATCTGTGATAAAATGAGTTTATCAATGTTAATGATAAGATCATTAAAAAAAATTAAATATTGTTGGCGCATTTGTAAATGTATACGCAGCCCTGGTTAATATTGAGTTAAAATTAAGTTCTACCAGTGGGGGGAACTATTGGAGGCCAACGATGTTTATACTCGAATGAAACAAGTTACATTCGGAAAAATGTTTCTTGTGTAAATATTCGATAATATATTTGAAAATATACGAGAATTCGTAGTTATATGTTCAATTATAATATATTACGATGATGTAATTCATTTGTTGAAATGTGATTTAACCAGTGCTTTAAATTGCAAAGCGCATACATTTTATGCGTCGTTTTTGCAATTTTGGATAAATACATATGTAATTAATTTATATGTTTTAATAAATAGTGTTTTTAAAGTATACAATGTTTAAACCTCGATTATGTGCTTGTTTTAATGTCTCAAATGGTTTTGACAAGCCATACAAATATTTTAAATCAAGTGCCAAATTATTAACAGTAGGGAACGGGCAAGCTCATAAAAATGTCAGTGAAAACGCCATGACTTCTCGGGGTGGCGAAAAAGTGCAAACAAGGATTCCAAACAAGATGGCGTTTGACAGGTTTTATTTCGTATTTTGACAGGTTTTATTCAAACTTATGTGCTTGTTAAAGATGGTTATTGCTTCTTATAATCGCAATTTTTATTTATTTCTAATAATAATGCGGCATATCTGAGTCACCAATCATGTGCGTATATTAAGTGAAGAAAGCGCATGAATAAGAAAGTGAATTTTATTATAATTAACGTTAGAAGAAATAAATTGCTTCGTTGGATAGATTCATTGAGGTATGTACTCATAATTAAAATGTATTTGCTATTGACCACCATATTAAAACAAACATGTGTTGCTTAAAGGTATGATAAAATTTTCAGACAAGGCCATAAGATATTTTATGATTTGCATGTTGTGTTATCAGCTGAACAAAGTTTAGATCTTTCTATTAGTACTTTGTTGCAGAATGAATCTCATATTTGATAGGATGTCAGGACTTACAGGATTTCTACACTGCAATTTGATTTGATTTAATTGTTTTGTATTATTGCATTACTGCAGGTATGTTTTGTTTTATTGCATAAAAAGATATTACTTTTAAAAGTTTTAGGAAGCTATTGTATCAGTATATGCACGGTTGAAGAATTTCTCCAAAATTTTATACCGATGAGCAGTATTTGCTAATATTGATAGAAGAGGGTCTCCTCCATAGATTGGTAATTATTTGTGTGAATTTAATATTACATACCTGTTAAAATTTTATACTTTAAATTATATGCTCTCAATGTTTTTTCTTTCAGATTAATTTAGGTACATATAAGAAGTATTCATCTTTGATTTCCAAAAGCTTTCAATTTATGTATTACATATAACATTTATGTACAGTTAATATTATTATACAAGCTAACAGTCATGATACATATATATTTAATCTAATATAAATTAACATTTCTTTCATTTACCATTCCCATCTTATCCAATAATGAAAGTTTGAAGATTCACCAAAATAGGACATAAAAAAACAATATTTTCACCAGAAAATTGATAGTCCTTTGGTATATTACATAGAAGTTTTAAAATTTTCATTCTGTGTATGACTCATTCTACATGTATACGCACACTAGCTTCAAAGTGAGTTTAATTAATATCTCCTGGTGAAAGTAATACGTTTTAAATTTAATTTTAAACAAATAGCATATGCACAAGTGCTGCTATATTTATTAATTTGTCTAACTCAGTCCATATTGATGAAAATCCTGACTATAAAGTACAATTAAAAACTTTGTCTTTTTTACTCATGAATTTACCTTTGTCAGTTAATACAGCACATCCAGATTTTACTTTTTTTTATTACGCCCGAGAGTACATTAATTTGGGTTGGAGTGATTCTGCCTAAGCCCACATTATTAACAAATGAAATAAAGCCATCTGGAGTGCAAATAAATAAGAACCTACTTTCAAATACCCTGGAAACTACCAACGAATGAATCTGAAAAGTAAAACCTAAAGCAATATAACTAATTTCTAACTTTCATAATTAGTGTTTTCTAAGAATCAAACTCACAAATGGATTTTTAATAATGTTTTTATGCATGTAAATATGATCATTTAAGCAAATATTGATTTAATTTACTAAAGCCTCTTCAAACTTTGAACTTTCAATATTTTTCTGATTGAATATCCTTCCTGAATGTAAATAGTATGCATATTGGTAGTAGCAAACAAAATTTATATTTTGAATTTCATTATTCTTACCTCTGTTATTGTAAAATCATAAAAAATAAATGATGAAAATATGTAAGAAATATGAATTATTAAATGTTTAACCTAAAAATGCACGTTTTACGTCAAAACAAATATTAGTTGACAGCAAATTCAACTCATAAATGTGTCATCCGCCATATTTGTTGGAATCCAAGTTGCACTTAAAATCCGCTAGAGGAGAGCTTGCCCGTTCCCTGTTTCCGTTCAGGCGCATAAGGTAAGTGAATCTTAAATATATATATATATATATATATATATATATATATATATATATATATATATATATATATATATATGATAGTTTTGTCGATGTTGATACATATTTGTAATATTTTTGCAGCCCAATCGTCAAATTAAAAAAAAGATTAAATAACAAAATTATTTATTCCATTAAACGTTTTGACACTTGATGTGTGTCATCATTGAGTAATCGAAAAAACATAATACAATAAATACAAAGTTGATAATGAATATAATTATATAAAAAAATTTGAATTAAAAGAAGAATTAATTTGAAATAAAAGTGTGGTTAAAGTTTACCATATGTTCTGAGAGCATCGTTTTGAATTGATTTGGGTTTCTACAATCTACAATCAATTTTACATCATTATTAATTTTTTCTGTGTTTTTCCTGGTTTGGTATGTATAATTTTCTCATTTTTTATATATTTATATTTATTATCAACTTTGTATTTATTGTATTATGTTTTTTAGATTACTGAATGATGACACACATCAAATTAATGTCAAAACATTTAATGGAATAAATAATTTTGTTATTTAATCTTTGTTTTTAATTCGACGATTGGCCTGCAAAAATATTACAAATATATATATATATATATGTGTGTGTGTGTGTGTGTGTGTTTACAGAAATGTTAATTATTTAAAGGAAAATGGATCACAAAAACCGTTACACTGGAATGAAGCAAAATCCTATTCAGAAATCCCAGGACCTAAATCGTTTTGGGAAGGTGTGCGAAATATACTTCCTGGAGGTAATTTATATTGTTTATATAATAAATATACTAGTAACAATTAATATACGGTGATACATTTTTCAATTTATTACAGGAAAATTCTATAAAAAATCATTAAAGGACATGCATGTTATATTAAAACAAGAATATGGAGATATTACTATTCTGAAAGCATTTTTGGGGCAACCTGATATAGTGATGTTATTTAATCCGAAAGATTTTGAACAAGTAAATGCTTAGACTTAAAAAATTTTGAATACCTTGACTTTGAAAAATATGTGAATGCTTGAAAAGTATGTGACTTAAATATTAGTGAATAATAATCTTTCCTTTATTTTAATAGGTTTACAGAAATGAAGGTCAGTGGCCTCACAGAAGAGACTTTGAAACTTTTGTACATTTTAGGAAAAAATTACGAACTGATATTTATGGAGAGAATGCAGGTTTGTTGGCAGAGTAAGTGTGTGTGTAAAAGTGTGTACATTTATAATAGTTCTGTTCTATTTTCAATTATTTTATAAGGCAGGGTGAGAGATGGAAAGATTTAAGAACCAAGGTGAACCCAGTAATGATGCAACCAAGAAATATTAAACAATATATTGCTCCTGTAGAAGAAGTTACTGACGAATTTATAGCTAGGTAAATATATGTCAAAATTATGCAAATGCAATTAATTCCTCTGTTAACAAGATAATTATTGCAGAATGAACCACTTACGTGATTCAAACAACGAAATGCCAAAAGATTTTAGCCATGAATTGAATAAATGGTCACTGGAGTCTATTGCACGAATTGCCTTAGATACCAGATTAGGTTGTCTACAAGATGATTCACGAGTCGATGAGGATTCTAAAAAAATGATACAAGCTGTACATGATTTCTTCGATTTGATATTTCAATTAGAAATTCTTCCATCTATATGGAAATACGTTAAAACTCCAGCTTATCACAGGCTGATGAGAGCCTTAGATACCATGACCAAGTAAAACACTTTTTTATTAGAAAGAAATAATAAGGCCGTCATTAATTTTGTTGATTTTTCAGTGTTTCATTGAAAAAAGTTGACGCTGCAATAGAACGGATGATTAACACATCTCAAGATTCAAAATCTGAACATGAAGCAAGTGTTTTGGAGAAACTTCTTAAAATTGATCGTAACGTTGCTATAATTATGGCAATGGATATGTTGTTAGCAGGAGTTGATACCGTAAGTTTATTTGATTTAAATGATTCAGTAATTGTATAGTTTCAAACAAGTTTATAATTTTCTAGACATCTTACACTACCGCTATACTATTGTATCACTTAGCAGTTAACCAGGAGTGTCAAGAAAAATTAAGAAAAGAGATTTTCACAATTATACCTCAGAAAGATTCTAAATTAAACCAGGAATCATTCAATCATATACCTTACTTAAGAGCTTGTATGAAAGAATCACATAGAGTTTTGCCAATTGCTGGAGGAACTGTAAGAAGATTACCTGTTGATCTTGTCTTATGTGGATACCAAGTGCCAAAAGGGGTAATAAAATATATTGATGTTCATGTAAAATATTCTTCAAGGTATTATTTTCAATATGTTTATTTTTCACAGAGCGAAGTCGTTATGAGTCACCTATTGGCGACTATGGAAGAAAATCAATATACAGATTCCACAAAATATATTCCAGAACGATGGTTGAATGAAAAAAATGCTCCTCAATGTCCTTCAGCCAAAGAAGCACATCCATTCGCATATATGCCTTTTGGATTCGGTCCTAGAAGTTGTGTTGGAAGACGTTTTGCGGAATTGGAAATCGAAACATTTATTGTTAAATTATTAGAAATTATAAAATCGAATGGAATTATGGAGAGATGAAAACAAAAAGCCAAATACTTACGATTCCTGTATCACCGTTACGTTTTAAAATGACAGAATTGTAAAATAGAAAATCTGTAATAAGTCGTTGAAAAGTCAAAGAAAAGAATTCAATTTAATACTGCATTATATTTCAAATCTATACTAAGTTTTCATAATCAGTACTATAAATTTCAAATAATGTATTTTTTGGATGGCAATCACAAGTATTTATAGGCAATTCTGTATTATATTTTGTAACAGTAATAAATAAATATTAAAATTATAATAAATATCCCACCAATAAATTGATTACTAATTACCTTTTATTAGATTTTGTGTGTCAGCATTGAAACGAATAATTTCTAAAAATATTTTAGCTATTACTTGTGATTTTTTGAAGATTTGATTTTTTGCTCGTAATCATTACGATATATTAATCTAATCAATATGAGAAGATGAGTTCGTACTGACGTACAACATCAGAACATATTTATATATGAAAAGTGTTATCAATTTTTCATAATACATAAACCTATTGTTATGGATACAGTATTATCAAATTGAAATAAAGTTTGTAAAGATAATAGTAAAAAATCTGATCGAATGCCGTGCAGATTTTTCGTTTTATTAAACAAATGTATTTAATTTAATTAAGCTTAAGGTTCTGTGTAACAATTTATATAAGTAATTTAATAATAAAGAATGTTTACTCAAAGAGGATCCGTTCTGTGTAAAAACTGGTGCAAGCACAGTCAGAGCATAACAGTGAAAAATATTTCAAGTTCTCAAAAATATTTGGCCACTGTTGCAACACCAAAGGTAAATTTGTAAGTCATAAAATGTATAGTAAAAATTTTTATGTACTCTTTGATTTTCAAGGAAACTGTGTCTGATATCCCACCTCAGTGGAATGAAGCCAAACCATATTCTGAAATACCTGGCTCTAAATCGGCCTTTGAGGCTATGAGAAATTTTTTACCAGGAGGTATAATTAATATTAATGTACATGCTAATTTGTGTAATAAACTATAATAATTATTTTAAGGTAAATATCATAACAAATCTTTAAGGAATGTTCATAGATTGATGAACCGTGAGTACGGTGATCTGGTTAATTGGAAGGGCGTTCTCGGAAAGCCAGATTTTATTTTGGCATTTAATCCTAAAGATATAGAACAAGTATACAAATCACTTAAGTACAAATAAAAATATTGATAATTCAATGTAATAATGTTTAAGGTATATCGTAACGAAGGACCAATGCCAAACAGAAGAGAATTTCAGATTTTCTCCTATTACAGAAAAAAACTTCGCCCAGAAATTTATGGAGAATATGGTGGTCTTTTTGTCGAGTATGCACTACGTATTTGCATCAAATTACTTACTGTAACTTTTTTGTAAATATGTTACTAATCCTACTTTTATTTCTAGACACGATGAAAAATGGAAAGACTTAAGGGGAAAAGTAAATCCAGTCATGATGCAACCAAGAGTTGTTAAGCAATATATAAAATCTGTAGAAAACGTATCTGATGAATTTATAACAAGGTATAGAGAACTTAAATATCATTAAAATAAGCTTTAATATTAATTTCAATGATTATTGAAAGAATGGTGCGTCTGCGCGATTCAAATCAAGAAATGCCAGCAGATTTTATGGATGAATTAAATAAGTGGTCCTTGGAATCTATTGGCAGTATTGCCCTGGACGCAAGATTAGGATGCTTGGAAGACAATGTTGGTGTTAATTCAGATTCTGGAAGAATGATCCAAGCCGTTCATGATTTTTTCTATTTAACTTTCAAACTAGAAATTTTACCTTCTCTCTGGAAATACATTCCTACGCCTAGCTTCAGGAAATTGACAGCTGCTTTGGACGTAATGACAGAGTAAGGATTTGATGTCATCAACATATAACTGAGTATGTTATTAAATTGAATTTTACTTTACAGAATTTCTTCGAAGAAAGTTGATGAAGCAGTTGAACGTATCAAAAATAATCCAAATCCTAAGTCTGACTCGGAAGCAAGCGTATTGGAAAAATTACTTAAAATTGATAAGAAAATTGCTGTAGTCATGGCCATGGACATGTTGCTGGCAGGAGTCGATACAGTAATTAATGTTATATTGATGTTTATAAAATATATATAAAACGTTATCTCATCATGATTTTAGACGTCAAATACTACCGCTATACTGCTGTATTTTCTTGCTGCAAATCAAAAATGTCAAGAAAAACTACGATCAGAAATATTGACAATCTTACCAGACAAGGATTCTAAATTATCAAGTGATTCTTTCAAAAGAATTCCTTATTTAAGAGCTTGTATGAAAGAAGCAAATCGAATAATTCCTATTTTAGGAGGCACTATCAGAAAACTGCCGGTAAACGTTGTTTTATCCGGTTATCAAGTTCCGAAAGGGGTAAGTTCAGTCACTCAAACTTTATTAACCTTGATGACTACACATTTATCTTTTATTATTATAGACTGAAATAGTGGTAAGTCATCAAACAGCATCAATGAACGAAAACCAATTTCCTGATTCAAAAAAGTATAAACCTGAACGATGGTTAAATGCAGAAGAAGCTGAAGGTTGCCCTTTGGCAAAAAATGCAAATCCTTTTGCTCACATGCCCTTTGGATTTGGACCACGCAGTTGTGTCGGAAAAAGATTCGCTGATTTAGAAATTGAAACTTTTGTAATGAAATTGTTTAGAAATTACAAACTTGAATGGAATTATGATGAATTGAAAGTAGCTAGTAGACTGATTACGCAACCTGTATCACCATTGAAATTTAAGCTGACAGAAATTTAATGAAATATATTGTGATGTCTATAATATATGTTTTATTTTATCTATAATACATAAGTTTTATTAAATTAAAATTTTAATCTGAGGGATATCTCTTTAAAGAAAATAATCACCGATGATCAATAATAGAACTAAGGTTTCCAAATAAATCATTTGAGTTGAATCAAGAAAAATGTTAAAGTAATGATTCGGTTATTTAAAACGTGCAAACCAAACTTTTTCGACAAGAAAACGTAAATGTTGATCACAAAAAATATTAAATAGACAAGATATTAACAAAACCAAATGCGAACTTGAGTTGCGCATCTCTTAGTGTAAAAGTAAATTAATTAATAACTATTTTGCAGTGATTTATTCGCTTTTTTATATAATAAACTATCTGAATTGATAAAATTTTGCATGTAATGATCACTGTGCATATCTGATATAACGAGTAGAGGGGAATTGTCGATGTGAATACGCGGCCTTGTATATAACTTCTGGTTTCATTGAGACTTATAATTTAATATACAAAATATAATTTAGTTGGAACATAAACAGTATTATATATAGTTATAAGTAAAATTATTATAAAAGTGTAAAGTAACTAGTTAAAAAAATATTAAAGTATTTGCTAAATTTTAATTTTGCATAATTCTAAAAGTTTATTTATAAAAGAATACAAATACAAGTTTTTTTACTAAAATGTTTCGTATAAAATGTATCTCCCTATGTGAATCTACAAATAATATGTTATTCAACTCTTCAAATATTGTCAATACATCAAGGAGGCATTTATCAAAATCTGCTCGAAATTTAACAATAATCGCGGAAGTAAAAAATGTAAGTGATCATAAATTTAGAAACATGCATATTATTTATTTGCATGATTATTTATTTATTAATTATTTTGGTTAAAAAGGATAATGCATCAGAAAAGCCATTACTATGGCATCAAGCAAAACCATATTCTGAAATTCCGGGGACAAAAACGACTTTGGAAAATATAAGAAGTTTCTTACCAGGGGGTAAATAGTAGTTTTTGCAAAATTTCATATGTATATATATGTGTATGTGTGTGTGTGCAAATGTTATTAATTATGAATATTAATATTTAATAACATTTATAATAATAATAAACAATAATGTACATTTTTATTTTAGAATAACTTGAATAATCAAATTACATACTACAATATTTATTTTCAAATTATAATTTATTTATTTTTTATTTTAGGTAAATTATACAACGTGTCATTAAAAGATCTTCACCAAACAATGAATAAGGAGTATGGAGACTTAGCAAAATTGAAAGGATTTCTTGGAAAACCAGATTTTGTATTTGCATTTAATCCCAAAGATATTGAAAAGGTATAAATAATTCAAAAAGTTTAATATATATTTTTAAAATATTATATTATTAAAAATTTAGGTCTATCGTAATGAAGGACTGTGGCCTAATAGAAGAGAATTCCAAGTTTTTGCATATTTTCGAAGAAATATTCGACCTGATATTTATGGTGACAACGCTGGTCTTCTTGTAGAGTAATCAATATTTTAAAATAATAAAAATTAAATTATATATTTGACAATATGCTTCATTAATCAGACATGAAGAAAAATGGAAGGAATTACGAGGAAAAGTCAACCCTGTTATGATGCAACCGAGAGTAGTCAAACAATATATCAAATCAGTAGAGGATGTTTCTGACGATTTTATCTCAAAGTAAATATTTACCATTGTTTTCAAAAATTCACAAATTAATAAAATGTCCAATAATAGGATGGCGCAGATGCGAGATTCAAATCAAGAATTGCCCAGCAATTTTATTATTTATTTGAACAAATGGGCTTTGGAATCTATCAGCAGTATTGCTTTGGATACCAGATTAGGATGTTTAGAAGATAGCGCTGATAAAAATTCTGATTCTGAAAAAATGATTCGGAGTGTGCACGATTTTTTCGAAATGACTTTTAAGCTGGAATTTTTCCCATCGTTATGGAAGTATGTATCCACACCCGGTTTTGTTAAATTGATGAATGCTTTAGATACAATTACAAAGTAAGTAATCAATAATTAAATTAATCATTAACATTAGTTGCGATACTTTTATAATAAAACATTTCAGTATATCTCTGAAAAAAGTTGATGAAGCTGTAGAACGAATCAAAAATAATCCTAATGCAAAACCAGAATCAGAAGCAAGTGTTTTAGAGAAACTTCTCAAAATTGATAAAAAAGTTGCTGTAGTAATGGCCATGGATATGTTGTTAGCAGGAGTTGATACTGTAAAATTGAATACTATCTTCAACAAAAAAAATTTCACATGATCGATTATATAATTCAAATATATTTTGCAGACATCAAATAGTACAGCATTTTTGCTGTATTTCCTGGCTACGAATCAAAAATGCCAAGATAAACTACGTGAAGAAATCAGAACAATTCTGCCAAATAAGGATTCACATGTAAATAACGAATCATTTCACCATTTGCCGTATTTGAGAGCTTGTATGAAAGAGTCGAGTAGAATATTGCCAATAATTGGAGGCACTGTTAGAAAAGTGCCAGTCGATATTGTTTTATCAGGATACCAAATTCCGAAGGGGGCAAGTATAAAATATAATAGTGATAATGTTGTTACACACAACAGTTTTTTTATAAATGCCTTGAGGGCAACGAAACTTATATTCAAACTTGTTTTTTATCAGACCGAGGTGGTTCTAAGTCATCTTACTACATCAATGAAAAGCAGTCAATTCCCTGAACCTGAAAAATTCATGCCAGAACGATGGCTGAGCAGCCAGGAATCAGAAGGATGTCCTTTAGCAAAAAATGCTCATCCATTTTCGCACATGCCATTCGGCTTTGGGCCTCGCAGCTGCGTTGGGAAAAGATTTGCAGATTTGGAAATGGAAACTTTTATAATGAAGTTACTTAGAAATTATAAAATTGAGTGGAATTATGGTGAATTGAAAGTAACGACAAAACTTGTCGCTCATCCAGAAACACCACTGAAGTTTAAATTAACTGAAATTTAATTGTATCGCCTTATACATATATTGGAAAAATAAATCAAAAATAAATAAAAATAAAACAAAATCTCTTAAATATTGTTTCTAAAAACTAATACAATTCATAAATATCAATATTATGTTAAAATATACTTATTTAACAATCTTTCAAATTTTGCTCGAATGAAATTTATTTATGATAGATATTCAAAGATCAAAATTAATGATGACCATTATATTATAATTATTTATATATTTTATTGTTTCCAAACTCTATCAAATAATGAATTAGTCAAATTAGTCAAATATTATATATATCAAAAAAATAAAGTCAATAGATAACAAACGATTATCAGTTATTTTTGAAAAATTCAATATAAAGTCATAATCATTCCGCTTTAGCAAATTATCTCACGCGACCATGACAATGATTAAGCTAAAAATATTTTCAATTAGGCAGTGGTAGCAAACCATGAAAAAGTTCTTCTAAATATACTTGAAATAAGGAGGATATTTGTGATAAAATTTTTACGATCAGAATAAACAAATGTGTTACTTTTACAGTGTTATATAGATTATGTATTCAAACAGATATTTCTATTTCAAAGATTAAATTATATTTTTAATATTTTTTTAGGTTTCATTTTTTACGTAAATATTACATATTTAAAAATCTCTTCATTCAGTGCAAAATTACTGAAATTATTTAAAACTAAATATATGCATATTAAGGTGTTGGAAATTAAATTTGCAATTAATTAACCTGATATTAGAAATTAAACCATACATTTTACTAATGACTTTTTGATTTGAAACTATATATTTAGAGCCTGTTGATATATAATGGTCCAACAGCAACCTTTTGAATACAGGTGTTTCTGTAAGGCTGAAAAATTTTGTACTGATGATTCTTAACGTGCTTTTAGCCCTGCACATCATATAATAATCGTCCGGGCACTTGAAAGTGTAAAAAACCCGAAAATTAAACTTGTTCCTGTAAGCTTCAAAATTTTATACGATGTAATTTATTCAATAAGATATTAAAAATCATATTTACAGTCGATTTCAACCTGTGTGTGTGTAATTTTTTTTTATCAACATCTGCTCAATATGGTGGGGACGAATATTAGCGTACGGGCCAACAGTTTTTTTTATTAAAAAATATTTCCGTGAGTCAGATATCAATTAGTTGTTGTTTTCAAACATTGTGATAAGTATCCAGTATTAAAACATTTTTTTAAAATTAACAAATACGTGATTTTTATATTCGTTTATATATGTTCTTTACTTTATAGTGTTGAATAATTTTTATTTTGTTATTAAATATTATACCACAATATTTACATCTGTGCAATTATGTAATTCATGCTAAGAAAAATACAATAATTCATTACTTATCTGAATTTTACATAAGAGTTTTGTTTGTGAAAATTACAACGTTAAGAATGTTTACTTTAAATTCTTCACATTTTACTAAAGCTGTTAGTTGTGTTTCTTTGGAAGTAACACGTTTATCAAATACAAATATTTCAAGAGCAGCAAGACAATTGGCAACCTTAACAGAAGTGCAAAAAGTAATATTATAATGTGATTCTTTTGAAAATTATTATATTTCATATCTAATATTTCAGGAAAATGTACAGGAATCACGGATATCATGGAGCGAAGCAAAACCGTTTTCAGAAATACCTGGTCCAGAATCTGCTTTGAAAAGTTTGCGGAACTTTTTGCCAGGAGGTAATGATTACATATTTGCAGCAAATGCAATAAATAAAATTTAGATAACTATATATGCATATTATTTTACATAGGAAAATTCCATAAGGTGGCCTTAAAAGAAATGCATGTAATGATGAACGAAGAATACGGGGATATAGTCAGATTTAAAGGATTTCTAGGAAAAAGTGATATGATTATATGTTACGATCCGAAAGATTTTGAACATGTAAGGTTAATCATATTAATAGATCTAATTATATTTTTCCATGTCACAATTTTTCAAAACAAAATTTTCTTCAGGTTTATCGAAACGAGGGTCCATGGCCCCATAGAAGAGAATTTGAAACATTTAGACACTTCAGAAAAGATTTACGTCCTGATGTATATGGTGATAATGCTGGGCTTCTCGTAGAGTATTTATTGTTTCATAATAGTTATTATTTTAAAAACAAATATTTATTTTACATATATTGAACTTTCTAGACATGGTGAAAAATGGAAAGAACTACGAGGAATGGTAAATCCCGTCATGATGCAACCCAGAGTGATCAAACCATACGTAAAACCTGTGGAAGAAGTAGCAGAAGAATTTATAGAAAGGTAACAAAATTTGTTTAGATAAAAATTAATTTGTTATAAGTTTTTATTTTTTGGTAGAATAATTCAGCTACGTGATTCAAAGAACGAAATGCCAAATAATTTCCTAAACGAATTGAACAAATGGTCTTTGGAATCAATTGCACGTATTTCCTTGGATTCAAGATTGGGTTGTTTAGTAGATGACTCCAAGTTAAATTCAGATTCCAAAAAAATGATACAGGCGGTGCACGATTTTTTTGAATGTTCGTTTAAATTAGAAGTTCTTCCATCACTTTGGAAATATATCAGAACACCAAATTATACCAAATTGATGACTGCACTAGATACAATGACTAAGTAAGGTTTTCTATATTTTTAATTGATTCGAATTTTGAACTTTTTAATGAAATATTTGTATTCAAAGCGTATCATTGAAGAAAATTGATAAAGCAGTAGAACGTATCAACAGTAATCCAGATTCCAAACCAGAATCAGAAATGAGTGTGTTAGAAAAGCTTCTAAAAATTGACAAAAATGTTGCAGTAATCATGGCTATGGACATGTTGCTTGCAGGAGTAGACACAGTAAAACATGACTAACTACATAATTTATGAAATATCATCAATTTGTCTTTAAAACCTTGAATAATCTAATGCAACATAAAGACAAATTGATTGTGTCATTGAGTTTGTGTTATATTCGACTTGTCAATCATTGTATATTGATTGTTAAATTTCTAATACAACAGCAATTCTATTATATCTTCTTGCTAAAAATCAAGCATCTCAAGAAAAATTACGAGAAGAAATTCTAACAATACTGCCCAATAAAGATTCCAAATTAACAACCGAATCCTTTAATAAAATTCCCTATTTGAGAGCTTGTATGAAGGAAGCAAATAGAGTGTTGCCGATTGCCGGAGGCACAATGAGGAAGATACCAGTTGATCTTGTTTTATCAGGATATCAAGTACCCAAAGGAGTAAGGTCATCAATAATATGAAAATTTACAACATTTTATGAATAATATTTTATCTTTTCCATTAGACTGAAGTGATCATGAGCCACATAACTACAACTGCCAGAGAAAGCCAATATCCGAACCCTGACCAATATCTTCCAGAACGTTGGTTAACCGGTGAGGCTTCTCAAGGTTGCCCTTCTGCCAAGAATGCCCATCGGTTTGTCTACATGCCCTTTGGATTTGGGCCAAGAAGTTGCGTTGGGAAAAGATTTGCAGATTTGGAAGTCGAAACATTAATCGCTAAGTTGCTTAGAAATCATAAAGTCGAATGGAATTATGGAGAATTGAAAGTCGAAACAAAGCCATTGACGGTTCCTATTTCGCCACTTAAATTTAAAATAACTGAATTGTAGATTTTTAATGATGTAAAAAAAACACTTTGTTTAAAACAACTACAAAATCCAATTCACTAACTCCACAAAATCTTAATTTCATTATATATGGCATTATCAGTATTTACTGAAATAAAATAAAATTTAAAGTTTTGTGCAGAACAATTGTTTTAATGGTTTTTATATTGTACATAACATTTCTTAGAATCAAATTTAATTTGGTACGACGTAGATCCTGGATTATTTTAGTATTAATTTTTGTCTGAATAGTAAATGCAAATAAATTGCGGCATTTTTTATCAAGATTTTCGTAAAGAACAGAATATAGATTCTGATAAGAAGAAGCAATTGAGATAAACTATATTTAAGTACAAATGTCTTTACATATTAGAGATGGGCTTATCATATCCGAAGCCGAATCGGTTAGGATTTGATTCCGCTTTAGAGAGGAGTTATATCCACTTAACAACTCCACAACTCCGACAACTTTGAAACATAATACTTGACACAAATGTGTTCTCTAGTGTCTAGTGTTAACATATCTAAGGATTTATTAAGACTTTGGGAATAATTTACAAATAGTTCAAACATTTTTGTTCATTTCATTATAATAATTACTATTTTATGCTTTTTAATATGCATACAAATCTCAAGTTGACAAAAAACTTGGAAATCAAAATCATTTTTGTAATTATTTTTGAAGATAAAATATAGAATTCTTTGAATATGTTTATTTTTATATGAAAATGATGCAGTGAACCTTATATATGAAATAAGTACAAATCTTTGTGTATATTATTTTTCACAAAATAATAATACCTCACATTCTTTTATTATTTCGTTTTCGAGAATTAATTACACATCAGGTAGTTTGACTATATTAGCATACTATTACTTTTACACAATGATAAAGTCATAATTGTGTAAAAGTTATAATATAATACGAAATTATTATTAGCTGGTTGTATACCATTAAAAGAGCTCATTTACGAACAAGCATTATCGTATACAGAATATAGAATACAAAATAGCATTATTTTGAGACATTATATACCTGGAAAGTCTTAAAACTGGGTGTGAGACGAGAAAAAGAGCATATCTTTCGATCCAAATCTTGGATTAGTAAAAAATCTCAAGCAAATATCTGCACATGTTAACAGATTTAGTACCAGTTTAAGGAAGTCGGATATGACAAATCCTGTGAGACAACTCCACTCGGATTCACTCCGAGGAAGGAGTTGTATCGGAGTCATAACTCCGGAGTGAGTTACCCATCTCTATTACATATGTATATATTGTGTCGTAAGAATATAATATATATATATATATATATATATATATATATATATATGTAAACATTAATTTACTTTTTGCACGGCATGCTGTGAAGCAAATTACTAACAAACTAATACCAAAGCAATTTTCGTCAATGTTATTTTCATTGTGTCACAGCACGTTGCCTACAGATGTTTTATGATTCTAATGAACTTGTGAATTTTTTCAAACATTGTGATCGTGCCAATACCGAGTGTACATGTCTTTTGCTATTAGTCCTCAAAATAATTTCAAATAAAGTGTTAGGCGATAAAAATAAACAAAATAAAATGTTATAAAAATGTTGTTGTTGATCCTCTAAAATTATATAAATTTGTTAGTTTGAATTTAAAACTAATATTAAAAATGTTTTGCACAAAATCTTCAAGACTCTGTAATGTCGCTTCATATTTAAATTTGGAAATATATATTTCACCAACCAGAAATTTTTCAGAAACGGTGACTACATCGCCCATTTTAAAAAAGGTACTGATAAATCTATACTTAGAATATAAAAACACAATATATGTAAAATATATAAACACAGAAGACGCAAATCTCATGGCATGAAGCAAAACCGTATTGTGAAATACCAGGACCAAAATCCGCCTTGAAAAGTATACGCAACTTTTTACCTGGAGGTAAATATGAACAGTTATTCTTTATCAAATTGATGTTTTGTTAAATATTTATATAATTCAATTGTAATCAAATTTAGGTAAATATTACAAGATTTCTTTAAAAGACTTGCATATACTACTAAACGAAGAATACGGAGATTTGGTCAGATTAAAAGGATTTCTTGGAAGACCAGACTTCATTCTATCGTTTAATCCGGAAGATTTCGAACAAGTGACCACAATTTAATTTAAATTTATTAGTTTAATACAGTACATCAATACTGTATTTTATTATTCTAAATCAACATATCAAATATTATTTTAGATTTACCGAAATGAAGGACCATGGCCTAACAGAAGAGAATTTGAAACATTCAAACATTTTAGGAAGAATTTACGACCAGATATATATGGAGATAATGCTGGGTTACTCGTAGAGTATGTATTCTTCCAAAGTAAAAAAAATATGTAATTACATTTTTATCATGTATGTTTTTTGTAGACATGGTGAAAAATGGAAGGAACTGAGAGGAAAAGTGAACCCGGTCATGATGCAGCCACGAGTCATAAAACCATATGTAAAGCTTGTAGAAGAAGTAGCTGAAGAATTTATTGAAAGGTAATAATATACATAGGAATTCAATTTTATAAACTTAATCCATTCTCAATCAATTTATAGGATGCTGCACCTACGAGATTCCAATAACGAATTGCCCAATGATTTTTCAAAAGAACTGAATAAATGGGCATTGGAGTCTATTGCAAGAATAGCTTTGGATTCTAGATTGGGTTGTTTAGCAGATGACTCCGAAATGAATTATGATTCTAAAATAATGATACAAGCAGTTCATGACTTCTTTCATTTAACTTTCAAATTGGAAGTTTTGCCCTCATTGTGGAGATACATTAAAACACCTGCTTATACAAAACTTATGGCAGCATTGGATGTGATGACTAAGTATACTAATAATTTATTAATAATACTAACTGGCATTTTTTTTTAAGTTCTTTTTAAACTTTTGAATATTCTATTAATAACAAATACTATATTTTTTGTGTCTGTGTCAATCGATTGCAATATTTTAAAATCCGTTTGTGTTATAACCTCCAGATTAGCAATTATTTATCTTTATATATTATTATATTATTATAATAGGTCGTCAAATATCTCCCTTCCGCCTTTTTGTATTATAAACCAAGAGCAAAAAAGCGGAAGGGAGATATTTGACAACATATCTTTACGTTTCAGAAGTTTCTGAATATTTTAGCATACTTTAGAAAAAATTGATGTATGTGTGTGTGTGTGTATGTGTGTGCGTGTGTATGTGTATGCGTGTGCATGTGTGTTCGGATACAAATTATCATCGACGATTTCGGGAACACGGATGAAGCGATTTGAATAATTCAAAAAACATTCGATTTGTATTGATAAAGAAACGTGCTGATTTGTTTTTGGCGAAGGCAGGTCTAGCCGTTCCAAAGATATAGGGCAAAAAGTACCAAAAACAGTAACTCAGTTTTTAGAGAGAACGGAGCGTCCGATTTGAATAATTCAAAAAACATTTCACTTGCATGAACAAGATGAAGAACTGATCAAATTTTCATGAATGCAGGTCTAGCGGATTCGGAGATCTAATAAAAAAAGTAAAAAAAAATGCCATCTGGCGGTCAAAAATAATCATTAGACATATGCACATCAAATTATCAGATATTTTATAGAGATTTTACCAATGAGTATAAATTTTGTTTACATTCCTATGGGTTCCGTACCAATGCTTATCAGTTAGACGGCGGCGCGGCGCTTACGCGCTTCGATATTTCGTCTTTATGCAGTTAAAGCAGTACGATTGCTTTGAAAAAAGTTCAGAATTTCCAAAATATTTCAAAATACACTTTTCTTCAAAAAGTCTTTTTTTTTTCAAAAAAAAAGTAAATTTTTGTCAAAAATTTATAGTTTCTCAAAAATCTAATTTTTCAGGGTAAATTTTTTTCAAAAATGTTAATCTTTTAAAAAAGAAAATAATTTTTGGTACGGGAAGTTCCAGCAATTTGCCTTAAGGCACGATGCTATGCGCCCCACTAGTTTATTTGAAAACTTATTACTTTGTTTTGAATCATTTATTTTTCATTCAATTTAATTTAATTTCATTCAATGCATATTAATAAATATAAATAAATATTTTTCATAGCATATCATTGAAGAAAATCGATGAAGCCATAACTCGCATTAACAGCAATAAAAATTCAGAGTCAGAATCAGAAATAAGTGTACTAGAAAAATTACTGAAAATCGATAAAAATGTTGCAATCATCATGGCAATGGACATGTTGCTTGCAGGAATTGATACGGTAAGTTAAAAATAACCTTATTTAAATTATAAATAATAACAATTAAATTTCTCCAGACATCAAATACGACTGCAATACTCTTATATTTCCTGGCAGCAAATCAAAGATGTCAAGACAAATTACGAGAAGAGATTTTTACTATCCTACCAGACAAAAGCTCTAAATTGAAAAATGAATCGTTCAATCATGTTCCATATTTAAGGGCATGTATGAAGGAAGCTAATAGAATACTGCCAATTGCAGGAGGCACTATAAGAAAACTTGCAGAAAATGTTGTTTTATCGGGATATCAAATTCCGAAAGGGGTATGTTGAAACACACAATTGTGGAAATTATGTAACATCAAAATAGAAATAAGTTTTCATTGAATCGTTTGCAATATAAATATTGTGTACCACTGGTACAAATCTGATACAACTCAGGTAGCATTTCAAGAACCTAACAAAGAACATCCTTATAGATAAGATAAGAACTGTTTGGTCCTTTATTCAAATACTTTACTTATTTTCTATTTGAACAGAACGAAGTGGTTATGAGTCATTTAACAACCTCTCTCAGAGAAAACCAATTTCCAAATCCAAAAATATATTTACCGGAGCGTTGGCTGACTGGAGAAGCAGCCCAAGGTTGCCCTTCTGCAAAGAGTGCCCATCCATTCGTTCACATGCCCTTCGGATTTGGACCAAGAAGCTGTGTTGGGAAAAGATTTGCAGATTTGGAGGTTGAAACATTAATTGTCAAACTGCTAAGAAATTATAAGGTCGAATGGAGTTATGGAGATTTAAATGTAGAAACAAAGTTATTGACGATTCCTGTTTCGCCACTTAAATTTAAAATAACCGAACTGTAATTAGATTGATATGCGATCATAATAAAATGAATTTGTAATGCATAAAATGTATATATATATATATATATATATATATATATATATATGTATGTAACTTCTTTATATGTTCATTTGGTAATAAATAATCAACTATGTATTATATACGTTTCGACACTGTATGTCTATCATCATTCAGCACGTTAACAAATTCTAAAAAATGTTTAAAAGCAAAGTTTAAAAATTTTCCAGATTACAAGAAAATCTAATAAAAATTAAAAATATAGCAAAACATACCAAATTAGGAAAAAACACACAAATTGAGGAAAAATCACGTACATATTGTCGAAACGTACATAATAAATCGAAAATTCTTTATTGCTATTTATTTCTGCTATTTGGCTGCAAATAAAAAAAAAAAAAAAAAAAAAAAAAAAAAAAAAAATATTTCAGAAATATGTTTTGTGAATTTCAGATTCTAGGGATCAAAATAAGATACTTTGCTGAAGAAACCATGCATTGAACGTAAGGTAACGGTTAAAGTTTGAAAAATCCCTTTGTCCTATTTAGAGTGCCCCAATCGCGTCCAAATATGACCAAATATCACCGACCCTCACTAACTTTGGGAGACCGATCCGCGCATGCCCGAGGTACCCCTCCCCCCCGCTGGTACCTCAAATTGCAAAAAATCAACAATTTTGGCACCCATACTAATCGGCCAGCTTTAATGGTAAAGGTTATTCACAAGCGAATTATTTTTAATTTTATTAGTTATTAATTATTTACTTATTAGTTATTAATTATTTACTTATTAATTATTTTTATTTAATTAGAGATAAACGAATTATTTTTAATTTTCATGTATATTATACATAATAATTAGAAAATGTGTATCACTCAATAATTGCAAATTAATTTACAAAAGCAGTTGTTATAAATTGGAAGAAATAACACGAAATTTTAGGGAAAATAGACACATCCGATGCTGTGTGTCCTGAAAGATGCAACAGTTTCAAACAACTTTTTATTTGATATAATGCGGTTGAAAATTTAATATATATATATATATATATATATATATATATATATATAATTTGAGTAAATATTCATTTACTTACATATTTACAAATAGGCGTCTTTCAGCAATTCACTGAGCACAACACTAAATACCTAATTCAAGGAGTAGTACACATAATTTTAGTCACTGATAACAAAGTCTTTAATACGAAATATTACGTAATTTTTAGAATTCTATAAATTTTTATTTTATTCAAATAAACTTATATATTTAAACTACCACAAAGTGGCATTTAATAATGAATTTGATGTTATGCAAAATGTCAGTTACAAGTGTGAAGTAAACAAATATTAATGACAGGGGCGGTTTAAGCAACTAAAAATGTCATTGTCACCAACATTACAGTTTAATATATGCTAAGTTCGTCTGAGTGAGTCTGGACTGAATTAATTAATTTACAAACATTAATTGTTTGTTAAATTGTTAGATAAACATACTTGTTTATCTATGTTAATAAATTAATAATTATTTGCACCTTTTAAGCGGTTTAAGCAACTAAAAAATGTCATTTTCGCCAACGTTATAGTTTAATATTTGCTAAGTTCGTCTGAAAGTCTAATAAATTAATTAATTGTTTGGTAAATTGTTAGATAAACATACTAGTTTATCTAAGTTAGTGAATTAATAATTATTTGCAACTTTTAAGCGGTTTAAGCAACTAAAAAATGTCATTGTCACCAACATTATAGTTCAATATTTGCTAAGTTCGTCTGAGTGAGTCTGGACTAAATTAATTAATTTACAAACATTAATTGTTTGCTAAATTGTTAGATAAATATACTTGTTCATCTATGTTAATGAATGAATAGTTATTTGCAACTTTTAAGCGGTTTAAGAAACTAAAACTTTCATTGTCACCAACGTTATAGTTTAATATTTGCTAAGTTCGTCTGAGTGAGTCTGGACTAAATTAATTAATTTACAAACATTAATTGTTTGTTAAATTGTTAGATAAACATACTTGTTCATCTATGTTAATGAATTAATAATTAGTTGCAACTTTTAAGCGGTTTAAGCAACTATGAAATGTCATTGTCGCCAACATTATAGTTTAATATATGCTAAGTTCGTCTGAGTGAGTCTGGACTAAATTTGCAAACATTAATTGCTTGTTAAATTGTTAGATAAACATACTTATTTATCTATGTTAATGAATTAATAATTAATTGCAAAATGTAAGTTGCAAAAATAATTATTGCATTCACTATTCAAATACCCACTTGACCAGGCTGAGCACGATTGGTCGACAAAGTGTTAAAATTACATATTTAAAAAAAAACATTATATGCACTTATTTTAACAGTATCAATGCTAATTATATATATTTTAAGTAAAATATTTTTTAGTTGTTAATAGTTTATGTTTATTTATCTATGAGTTATCCTATACGATTTACTTCATACTTGATAATTACTTTTCTATTAAATCTGATGTTTGGATTAATAGTTATTTTGTTAGTTTGATGGTTATTCCTCAGGAATACGTGTTTCACTTTAAATAGCTTTTACCAGCAATATCTCAAATATTTAATACATTTTAAATATGTAAATATTTCTATAAAATTAATAATTTAATCAAAATTTTTAACTTGAATTTAAAATGAAATTATATAATGTAAATTATATAATGTAAATAATACATGATTAAAACACAAGATTGCAATTAATTGAATTAAATTTTAATAATTATAATATTTTCATTATATATTGATTATAATTTGAATTTGAATTTTCCCGCGCATGCGAACTGCATTGCGACCTGAACTTTGCCGAAGACGCACACTAGCGCCATTACTGGATAACCTATACATAAACGTCATTCCAGTAGCAGATGTCAGAGCAGTCGCAGGCTGCATAGTTTAAATGTTTAAATATTAATATTAGTGTTAAATATATAACAAATGTATTATTATAATTTTTTTTCGTTGTGAATGTGATATAAGTGAGCCAGTGAAATGATGGACTATTCCATAGATTGGGTTGTCCCTATGTTAAGAAAACCTTTTAACACGAAGATATGGAATATTGCTAGTTCTTTTACTTTTGTTTGTGTAGGATTATTTAGTAAATTAATATTAGGTAAGAAAAGATTTAAAAATGAATATATTAATATAATATTTCAATTTTTCTGCTCCTTTCATACATAAAACCATGTATAGTTTGGATTGATTTTAAGTCATGTGCTTTTGATTCTGCCCTTTGAGTAAATAAAAATATTTCAGAAAATTAATATTTAAATATTTGTAGTATTTAGTATCTATCCAAAGTAATACATTCTAAACTACAATTTATTTTTAAATTATTGTGATGTTTTGGGTTATATAAATATATCTTTCTCATAAACATGAGAATTCAAAGAATTAGAAATATTATCAGTTTAATGTGTTTCTCATAAATGTACTAAATAAACATTTATTGATAATGTATTGTAAATTATGCAAAGATTCCAAATCTGAAATTTCATGCAACAATATCACGATCTTGAAATTTCGTAATAGATGAACCAGAAAAGCAGTGTATTTTTACCATTGCCCTAAATATTTCTTAAAAAAAAACTTACTTCAAAAAAATCCTAAAGAAATTAAATATCAGACAAAATATAAATGATTTCCTACACTAAGAAATTTAATATATTATGGATGTCAAAGGTAATATTTTTTGCTATCACCACTCCTGTACAAGATTGAAAGGCTAATAATTTCTCAACTAAAGAAAGTTTGTCCAACACGTGTTAGGAAATAACATTTTAGTTGAAGTGACTGAAGATGTTTTTCTGATTTTGAATATTGGTTCCTAATTATTTAAATCAGTAGCACGTGTTTTGCAATATTTAGTAATAGATCGAGGAGACAATTCCAATATTTTTCAAATAAAGAAGGTTTGTTTGGTTGAAACACGTGTTAAGATATAACATTTTAGCTGAAGATGTTTTTCTAGTTCCTAAATATTGGTTCCCAAATGTTACACCAGTAGCACGTGTTTTGCAATATTTAGCAATAGATCGTGGAGACAATTTCCAAGGCTAATTATTTTTCAACTAAAGAAAGTTTATGTGCCAAATCTAACACGTGTTAATAAATAACATTTTAGCTGAAGAAATTCTTCTAATTCCTGAATATTGGTTCCCAAATGTTTGAATCAGCAACACATGTTTTGCAATATTTAGCAATAGATCGTGGAGACAATTCCAGAGGCTAATTATTTCTCAATTAAAGAAAGTCTGTTTGCCAAATCTAGCACGTGTTAAGAAATAACAATTTAGCTGAAGATGTTCTTCTAGTTCCTAAATATTGATATCCAAATGTTTGGATCTGTAACACGTGTTTTGCAATATTTAGCAATAAATGGTTTATTTATTATTTCTCAACTAAAGAAAGTTTGTCAAATCTAACACGTGTTAAGAAATAACATTTCAGCTGAAATGACTGAAGAAGTTTTTTTTGACTTCCCGTAGAGTAAGTTATTGTAATGGGCCGAAAATCGAAATTGTAAATTTTCACATTTCTCGACGTTTTGAAGGTTTCTGAACATTTTGGCATACCTCAGAAAAAATGGATGTGTGTGTGTATGTATGTATGGATACAAATTTTCAGTCACGTTTTCGGGCGCACGGATCAACCGATTTGAATGGTTCAAAAAACATTCGATTCCTATTGATAGGGAGATGTGCTGATTAGTTTTTGGCAAAGGCATGCCCAGCCATTTCGAAGATACGGAGCTAAATGTGTAAAAATGGCAGTTTTTGAGAGAACTAAGCGTCCGATTTAAATGATTCAAAGAACTTTCTGCTTGTCTTAACAAAATAATTGATTTTGGAAAAAAAAATTGTTTCAACTTTTTTTTTCATTTTTTTTTTTCAAATAATTTTTTTTTTTGTATATCGAAAATAATTCAGATTTTATTTTTAATTCTGACTATAGTTCTAATATACTTTAAACAAATAATTTCAGCTTTGCAATTCAGTTTATATAATTTTTATAAATATTAGACAATGTTACAATATTAATAATTATAATCTATTTGAAAACATTCAGTATTCTTCGAACATTTCGTTACTGTACGGGAAGTTCCAGCAATTTGCCTTAAGGCACGATGCCATACACCCAACTAGTTTTTATTTGGCCTTGCTTACTGAGCATTTAGCCATCTACAACATTTTTATTTGTTTACATTCTATAAGAGTTTTTATATCATATTCAATCTATATATATCCTATTCTATATTCTTCTTCTTCTTCTTAATTTCTTCAATTTTTGCTGTTTTCTATCAAATTTCTAATTCTATTCATCTTTTATCTTCATTCAATTTTTCTTCTTCATTCTTCTTGTTAATCTTAGCAAATTCTGATATTCTCCTAATACAAATCAGCTTTTCGAATTCTGTAATTCCTATTTTAATTTTGATTCAATTTCTACTTAACAAATACAATTTTTATTTAATTTCAAATTAACTACACTTTTTTTCATTCATAAATAAAAATCAATGACAGGATTCGATCCAAAAATCCCTGTCGTGTGAACTAAAGACAATTGCAGAGGCTATTCTCAACTGAAAAAACTTTGTTAAATCTAACACGTGTTAAGAAATATCATTTAAGTTGTGGTGACTGAAGACATTCTTCTAGTTCTTTAATATTGGTTCCAAATTGTTTAACTCAGTAACACGTATTTCCCAATATTTAGCAATAGATCTCGGAGACAATTGCATCACAACCGCATATTTCTGCGCCGTACGCTTGTACCTACTGACGGTAATTTCGTAATAAACAGCCGACTGAGTATCTCAAGACAAAAATGTGAATATCATGTGAAAGTATATTGTAAACATCAATTAGCACATGTTACAACTATTCCACCTTCTCTGGGGACATTCAACTGTAGTATATATTTCAACCTCGTCTTATTTTCTCAGGATACTCACGTTTGTAATGTTTTATGTGATTTTTTATTATTAATTCCCCTTGCAAACAGCGGTCATTGCCTTACCGTTATTTGTTGTTTATGAATAATGCACGTTTATATTTGTGTGTTGGTCTTATACTTATATATCACTACTTTCATAAAAGATAGTTTTCTTTATATAATTTTGTTTGATGCAAGTATTGTTTTTAGGATTTATGCTCCAAAAAAATTTATAAGTATTAAAATCTGCAGTAACAGGAATGTTCCAGTTAAAATACAGGTCTGATATGAGGTGAAAATAGGCTTTGGGGTATTGACACAGCATGTATCTCAAGTATTAGATCAAATATTTAATGAAAATCTCATCAAATCGAAAATTGTCAACCAGTGGGTTGCCTTCTAATAACACCAGGTTGAGGAATCACATCAAAACAGCTCATAGAAAATATATAGGCCTGATTGCTAATTAAACAAAATACAATAAATTATACTAATTACTAAAATAGTACAAGTACAAGTACTAAGATAATACAAATTAGTATTAAATAGCTATTCTAATATACAATGAAGATAGTTGACATTCTTTTATTCATATTAGTAGTAAACAAAATAAATCTAATATTCAGTTAAAACTACAAGTTAGTTAAAATAGGTTAATTGTAATTTAGATAAACAAAAGTTCTCATCATTCTTACTATTAGAGACTTTGCTAGAATATTATAAAATAGAACACATTCAAGCAATCTTAGATCTCAAATTTATTCATTTGTAAGAAAAAATGGTTCTTAAAGTTTACACCTAATTATGTGATTAATAAATAAATTTGAGATCTAAGACAGCTTTAATTGTTCTATTCTATGATTGCAAAATCTCTAATTCTAAAAATGATGAGAACTTTTTGTTTCTCCAAATTACAATTATCCTATTTAAATTTTTAGTTTTAACTGAATATTAGATTCTCGTTTTCTTCTAACACAATAAATAAAACTGAGTTTTATATAAATGTAAATAACCAATTAATATGCATTTATGCATCATATAAAATACAACTCTGTGTATTGTTCGATTCACCTTCGACTCTATAAAAAAAACTTGCAGTTTCAGTGTTTATTTTTAAATTTCATAATTAAATTTACTGTTTATGTTTTTAATTTAGGAATATTTTATTATTTTAAAATGCTAATCATTTCTAGGAGTAAGTATATGCATAAAATGTTAATTAAATATAATTATTTGGTACATTTATTGATTTCAAAACAATAAGTTTTGATAATTCTAGAACCATTAATTTTTTGCCTGTAAATTGTTATATCATATGAATAGTAATAGTTATTTTGATTTCATATATTACACAGTATGATGATGCAAATTTTTAATTTTGCATTATCATTGCTATAAAACCTGTATGGTTTTCATTAGCATCAACTTATTAAATCAATAAAAAAAATTATAAATTTAGCCTGCACATGAGAAAGTCCTCTTACTTTTACTACACTTATATTAACACCAACTAATGGTCATAAAAGTATTTATATTTTTATCTTGTTTTTGAGCAGGAATCAGAAATAAATTAGGAATTCTTTGAGCTGTTGTGATGATCCTTCTTAACTTTTTAGAAGGCAACCCAACGGTTGGTAAAATACATTTGATGTACTTACTTTTATTATTAAGAATCTTAAATACTGATGGCATATTTTTAAGTTGACGCAACAATGTCGAAAACGGATTAATTTCATTTGCAAACAAATTTTAGAACTATATTTGCAAAAAAATCTTTTTCCGATGGGTATCGGACCAGGAGGTTGCAAGGTTGCAAGGTCGAAGCTCTTACCACAGTACCACGGGTAAACGCTTTTATATGTGTTAACACTATAAGTAGTAGATTACAAAAATTGTTTTCTAAATGTTATGAAAATTATATGTTTCGACGTCTACATTTCCTAATATCACTTTTATCACTTTGCAAGATCTGCGGTTTGAGTTGCAAAAACTGTAGACTTTGTGTCTTTTATGATTAGTTGTCAATGAACTTACAACATTTTACGAAATTACTGATAACTTATAAATGATAAATAAAATACGGAATTCAATAGTAAATTAAATGTTGGTGATAACGATAAGAATTGAACTAGTGGGGTGCATGGCATCGTGCTTTGAGGCAAATTGCTGGAACTTCCC